CCGTCCGTGCGTGATTCAATCTGGGTCGTCCGTACGAGTGAGATCTGGACTGTTCGATCGCGTGGACGCGGATCGCTCACGTGGCTTCGTCCCGCGTGGTCTCCCGCGTCAGCTTCCTTGCCACGCGACGTGTTCTGGTTGGCCAGGGCTGTTGACTGGGCTGCGACCTGGCTGCTGACATGGCACAACTTTCCTAATTTGCGTTTTAACCTCCGATTTCTGATTTTCTTTTTAAAAACACCCCCAGAATCTAAATTTTCACCCCTTTTTCCCAAAATCAATTTCAATTAAATCCCAAAAATAATTTTACCATATTTTATCATTATTATTATTTTTATTAAATTAAATTAAAACTTTATAAATTAAATATTAAAAAATTTAACTAAAATTATAATATAAATTAAAATAAATAAATAAAAAATAATAAAAATAATGAATTGGGTGTTACAGATAGAGTCACCGTTCTCGGAAAACTCTGCCGCAGGTAGGTTTTTATTTTTTGATTTTTTCGGCCAACCGAGGCCCCCTAACATATTTTTCTGCAGGGATATGTATAAAGCCGACTGAAACAAGCTAAAAGCTGCCAAAAATGGCCAAGCCGAGGCAAACCGCCGCTGCGGGCAATGGTGTCGTCGTTGGAGCACGACGGCAAAAACCCTGAAATTGTCCTAAAAGGATTTCTTTTTCACTAATTTTGGATTCCTATGGTATTTTTAGGTACGTGACAAGTATTTTTGATTCCGCATGGATAATTCAGGAAACCAGAGAATCACCAGTAGGCGCAGTAGAAAGTTCAGTATTTTGGATATTAATTGAAACTTAATAATTAATAATTGTGTGTTTTAATAAAAAATTATAGAGCTCTAAAAATAATTACAGGTCACTAATGGAGCCGGAACCGGTTAGTTTACAGTCGTTTTATTTTTCTATTTATTTTCCTATATTGGCTATATTTGTTTACTATTATATTGTGCGTAACTCAATTAATGGTTTTAGGGTTTTTTTTATTATTTTGTTATTTGTTTCCCCAGCATTGCGTGCCGGTATCGCGATCATTGGTTATTTGGCAGTGTGAAACTATATCGTTGTTTAAGTGAACAGTGAGTATAAAATGAGATATGGTTATTGCATGGTTGATTATTATGCTGATGGAAATCCGTATAGGAAAGACTTACTGAGTACCCAGGAAAGGGCGGACGAGCTTGGTATATAGGGAACCCTACCGTGAATGTTACCTCAGTTGGACGGGACTGAGAAGTTCCTTACCAGGAAGGTCTGGGAGATATAGTTCACGCTCATATCGAACACGGTATCGAGGTGGTGGCATGTTTGGCGCCCATACCAGACGAGGTATGAGAATGACCAATTAACTGTTTAATTAGATATTGGATTCACGAGTAAGAGGACATCCCTATAGACCTTCAGGAATACTGGTAAGCAGGTAAAAATGTAAAATTATCGTTTCTTATTATCTTCTATATGATAAATAATAGTGCTTGAATATGAATTTTCATAAGTTATTGTTGGGAGAGACTTATTATATAAATATGAAATAAATGACTTTCTTTATAGTAAATGAATTTACAATAAATTAAGGGCTCTATTGGTTGTTTTTCTAATTTCTACCAATCTTCAGTTTTTCGTATCTGTGATTAGTTTGATATTCTTATTAGGATAATGTAACTTACTCTTTCTTTAATTATTTCAAATCAAGATGACCAAGATCCATATCCCAATCAACTAGAGAGTTATGAATAGTTCATTATCCGGACTCCCTTTATATCTTTGATTTTCATTTGCTCTTTTAGAAAGAATATTTTTATACCTCTATTGGGCATTCTAAATTATTGTGTAAAAAATGTAAACCCTAACTTTATTATTTCACTTCTACATTTAATTTATGGCTTTATTTCTATTTAAATTCTGGACCTTTACAATATCACACAGCTAGTGCAGTGTACCCAATTTCACACGTATACATACTAGTTATACATTTCACATGCATAACATATGTATGCAGATTTTAATACATACATATATATTACAATACAGACATGTACCCTCACTACATGTCTCACACATAATATATATTTTTATTCACATACACATGATCTCTATCAATACATGCACACATTCATACTTAAACACGTACACATAATCACAACACACTATACGTAATTATTCACGTATTTGTTCTTATCAGTTCTGTTCTTATCAATTCTTATATCATTCATGTATATTTGTATATATATACACATACATGCATAACAACGTATACATATACTATATAAATACAAACAAATATAAATTAGACATATTAATTACATATATTACATTACACATATATTTAAACATTCATACATAATACATTATATATATACACATTACATAAACATATAATTTGTCTCTATATGGAATACACATAATTCTGACCTATAGTGTGATCAGGAAAGCTTTGAAAATCTTTTTCTAGTTCGATCTATGGTCATATGAAAAATTCGAATACCGTTTGGATAATTTTTTTCGTTTATAATAGAAAATATATATATTAAATTATGAATAATTTTAAAAATTATATTACGCGAAATTATAAATGAATTTTACCTTCGGACACAGTCCCGGTCGCCAACTTCATCACGCGCCATCACACGCGTATCACTGAAAATGTCAAACATTGATGATTGAATCAGCATGTGTTTTTACATACCGCGCATCAACATTATATTTGGTTGTCACCCTTCCATTTTTCTTCCTTAATTTAATTTAATTTTTTTTGTTTTCTTTCTTTTTTTAATCTTTTCTTCTTCTATCTTTTTTTTTTCCTTTTTTTTTCTTTTCTGCTTCCTTTTTCCTTCCTTCTTCTTCTTCCTCTTTTCCCATAGCTTCCATTTTTTTTTCTTCCTCATTTCCCGCAACTCCTCTTCTTCTTCTTCTTCTTTTCTTTTTTCTTTCTTCTTTCTTTTTCCTTTATTCTTCTTCTTCTTCCTTTTTTTTCTCTCTCTCTCTCCTCTTTCTCTCTCTATCCGACCATGATTCTTCTCTGTCTTCTTCTCCTTCTTCTTATCCTCCCCTTTTTTTTCCTTTCTTCTTCTCTTCTTCTTCTTCTTCTTTCTTTTCCTTTTCTTCTTCCTCTTTTTCCCACGACGTCTCCCCTTCCGCCGCATCCCACCTTCGTGACTGTTGCTCATTCCTCCTCCTCACGCGGCCAAGGCTCTTTCCCTCACTCCGCTCTCTCGGCCCTGATGTCGTTCGGCCCTCTCTCTTCTCTATCTATTTTTTATTCTTTCTCCCTTTTTTTTCCTGATATTTTCTTATGTATATATACACATATATTTATATTTGCCGCTTAAGTCTTACACATCCCTTTTTTTTATATAATTAATTATGTATATTATTTTTTTTATGTTTTCTTTTCTGTTCTACCCTACTGGTGTCCAACTAGATATTACATATATAGTGTTTGATTTATAGTTCTTAAAATCTATTTTTATATTTTAAAAATTAAAATTAGTTATTATTATATATTATCATATTAATTCATTTATATGTTTTAAAATTTAAATATATGATTTTTAAAAAAAAATTATCTCTACATGATACATAAATTCCCATACTACTTATATATATACATATACATATACATATATATATATATATAGATTTAGTGATCAATATGTAAATTTACTTTTTTATTATATAGATCACCTCCCATGAAAGAAGGAAGACAAATCATTTTGGTTATTCCAGTGGCAAGTTAAGTTGACACTTAACAGTCTACGGAGTAGTAATTGCAGTTGTCAAGGACAAAACATGATGGACCCATTTCTTGCAGGCCTTTTCTTTTCGTGGGTTCTCAATACATACCACCTTTTAAAAACAAATTCCTTCCCAATTTTTATTTTTATTTTTATTTTTTAAAAAAATTTATTTTATATAAAATTCAACAATCATATATATTTATTCTAAAAAAATATTTTATATATATTTTATAAAATTTTGTGATTATATAAATTTTAATAATATCTAGAGTTTATAATTTTACTGGTAATGTATTATCTTATTTGATCATAATTTAAAAAAAAAAAATTTTGTTGTTATCCGTAAATATAGATAGATTATATTAAATCTTTTATTTTTTTTTATTTATTTTATTTTATTATAATTGTACGCATTTAGGGATTAATTTCTTTAATAATTTTTTAATATAAAATATATAATTTGGTTATTACACAAGATATTATTTTGATCGAGACTATTTGCACATATGCAACTAATTCATGGATTTGTAAATTTTAAGATTATTTTAGTAAATTTTTGCAATATTTTTTTCAAAATTTGAGTTAAATTTTCTTTTCTTGAAAATAAAAAAGAAAAAAAGAGTTCTTGAAGGTTCAAAATCTAAATGTGTAACGAGGGAAAAACAAGACGGGACAAAACGCACAGTATAATCAACTTTTCTTTTTTAGTAAAACAGGAAACTCAAACGTGATTAAGTGAGAAAAGGGTATACTGAGTGCATTTCAAAGATTTGGAAAAACAGTTTCTATTTTGGTAAAGAAAAGTTTATTTGCGCTCTCATATAAAATTATTTATTTAATTTTTAAAAATTATTTATATTTTCTTACAGTGAATGTATTCATACAATATAATTAATTAATATCTAAATTTAATAAAAAGAACTAACAAATTACAATATCTACCAGTTTCATACAGTTATTAGAGTTATGAGCTAGTGTTATTCTTCATTTTTAATATAAATTCAGTATTATCTTGGTGGTTAAAGTATTTTGATATTATTTAATCACTAATTAGATAATAATTAAAGAAGAAAGAAAAATCCAAATCAATGTCATAATATTCTTTAATTAATTCTTCTCAGCAAATCCAATCATTTCCATGATCATTACTCTTCTTAATTACCATCTACTAAGACACAATAATTAACAAGGAAATCTAATGATTAAAAATAATTTGTAGATCATGGTTATCTATTTACAACATTTGCACACATCTCTCCGATTTATTAGATCAATCTAGCAATTAAATTACTGATTAGGAAAATTGAATGCATGATTATATATATCATGATCAATATAAATTCAGTGGTGTCACAGATTTTCAGTCAAAAGGATGTTACACATACACACAGAAAATTAAAATTAATAAAGTCAGATTAAATTAATTAATCAGGTTCTATTAATGCTTAAACCTTGAAAAAGCCAGTGAGGCCGCTTTCTTTCCTGATCAAATGTTGTACTAGAGCTGCTGATTGGAGTGTTAGGCCCGGTACTACTGTCTCCTCTATCCGATTTGAAAGAAACCGATGAATTCTCGAGCTCCGGCCTAATACTTAATTCCTTCTCATTTAGCTGATTATACCTTTTTGATGATGATGATGATGATAATCTGTTAATCTTGCTTGTGCTACTTCCTCCAATGCTTAGTGTCAGTTCGATTTCGCTGTCTTCATCAGATCCTGCATTGATGCTCGTTTTTTCGGTTTTCTGACTTGGCCTTGAATAATCTTGATCAAGAGTTGAGATTACGTCTTCTTGATCTTGAGTTGGTATTCTTTCAAGATCAAACCCTCTAGTCATAACTCTCATTGTGTCTGGTCCTGAGCAGCTGCCTGTACTTCTCTCCCTAGAGCTAATTGGATGATGATGATGATGATGATGATGATGATCTCGGAGACCTTCAATGGTGAAACTGTATCCAAAACCAGCTACCCCTTGTGATGTTGATGATGAATATTGATGACATTGATTAGTATTATCAATCCCAGTTGACGAAATCCAGTACCTATTTTGTTTGATCTCCCTCTTCACCTCATCCATCAGCATCTTCTGTACACTATACAGCCTATGGAGCTCCCTTACCTGCAAATCCATTCAAATTCTTCGTTAATTTCTCCACAGTCACACCACTTTGTTTGCTTCCGGACCATTGTTAGTCTTGTGATAACGAAAAGGACTATAAGAACCTAAACAAAGACTGCAATCCCAAAAAAATTCAGTTTTGAGCAAAGTTAACGAAATTTCTAAGTATCCAACAAAATAGTGGAAAGATACTGAAAAAGAGTGCAATTGGAAAAAAAATTTAGTTTCGAGTAAAGTTCAGAAAAATCTCTTTATCGCCTATAAAATGATTATTAAATTCTTGAAGCTCATGTCATATTAGCAAAGAAAAGCAAAGGAATCCTACGAATTTTGCGGAGAGAAGTTCTAAGTTTTGAGCAGTGATAAAAAAATCTCTACCCATTAAAATAGTGGAAATATGTTGGAAAAGAATGCAATTGGAAAGAAAATTTAGTTTCGAGCAAAGTTAAAAAAAATCTCTGATAGCCCATAAAACGATTACAAAATTCTCTAAGCTCTTGTCCTATTAGCAAAGGAAAACAAAGAAATTCTAAGAATTTTGCAGAGGAGAAAAGAAGAAAAGAGACTGATTTGATGTTACTGAGGTACCTTACCTGGTGTTTGAAAATGTCTTCATGCAGCTGCATTGTTTTTCTGATGGACTCCATGTTGTGCTTTTCAAGTAATTTGTCCATGGAGTTATAATGATGTCCTGCTACACTCTTAAACTTATACTTATTCTCCTTTATGGGTCCTGATGATGAAGAACTTGTATGGAGAAAGTCCCAATCATTAACAAACACCACACTGGTACTACTCCTTGCTAATGGATTGAATATTGAGTAATCAAGTTTGGTTCCCATGCCTGAAAAAATAGTATTAATACACTTCTCATAGTTTCAAATTTTTACATCCATCTAAGTTATAAACATACACATATATATAGTAATGAGATAGAATAGAAAAGTTCTTTTCTGGGTTCACAGAAAGTGATAATGGGTTGGGTGAGATTCATAAAAAGGTATAGCCATAAGAAGGTGGAGACAGAATATGGTTGACCCAGAAATTAGGAGTAGTCCAATAGTACAAGTGTACAACAGTATCTTTAGCAAAAAAGAGTAATGGACAGATTTTATCATCCTGAGTCATCTCCAACCTTTTGCTAAAACCAACTAGAGTACTTCTAGAAAACAAGAGAAAGCTTAATCTTCAACTTCACTCAATATATATGTGTATATGTGTAGTGCTTAATCTTGGAAAGGAGGAGGAGGAGGAAAAAAGAGATGAACCAGCAAATGGGTTCCCATTTTAGGGTACCAAATGCAGGACATATTAGGGATAAGGCCTGTTTGCCACATGAAAAAAGTAGTCAAAAAAAGTGAAATTCTTTTCCTGGGTAAATATATAGATGTATCGATCATCAGACAGAAAGAAAAGGGGAACAAAGGAAACTGTACTGGAATTTATATTGGGAGTCTTGAAAGTGATCGGCAAACAGTATTGGCAGAGAGACGTACATTAATGGAGAGGTGAATTTATCAAAAAGGAAAAAAAATGTGGGTAATATTGAAACCATAAAAAGAAATTGCGGGTCTAATTGTCTCTTTTTTTTTTTTTTTTTTTTGTATATTAATTAAATGTATATATATATATATATATATACATACGTACATCTCTAGTGATTACCATGATGAATAGAATACCCCATGTAATAACAGTAGTCTTCATCTTCATGAAAAAAGATGATATTGTACTGAAAAAAAAAGTGACCACTTCTTTCTGTTTCTTCCATAGCCTGGACCTATAGCCTTTATTTTTGAAACCCACATGATGAGATCACAGACATGAATCACTATTAGGTGGAGCTTAGGACAAACTAGATTATATGTATATAATATATATAATAGATATATAGATAAACACTTGAAGAAAAGAGAATATGGGGTATATTGTGATCTTCTCTTCTGTTCAAGAGAGAGACAGATCAATTCTGTTTTTTAGTAGCAAGTTGCACTACACTAGCTAGTGTCAATTATTTGACCCAGTAGAAAATAAGAAAATATCTCTTTCGCTTTCAACTTCTTGTAGTAATTTTATCTAATCTTGATTTTTGCGTACTGAAACTAAATTTTTCTCCAAATTGATCTTAAACCCTATTTTTTGTAACCTGTCTAATTATGATTCGGTGAAGTAACTTAAAGACTAGCAAGAGATAATTTAAGAAACAAACACAAGAAACCAAGATTCATATCCTGCAAATGAATCAGAAATACAAAACCTTCAAGAACTGATCTTGATATATTTATATATTTATATATATATATATATAAAATTATGTGTCTACTTATATTACCTGAAACAAGAAGTGGGCAGATGGCAATTTTCTTCTGCGAAGCTGATCATTGAACATGTTCTTGATTACTCCTCTGATCATCCATGAGTCTGCTCAGACTCTCATCAACAAAACCAAGAGAACTCTACGTAGATGAGGACGGAATTGTGTGTGTGTGTGTATATGCCTCACGATGAGCAAAACACAAAGATGTTGTGAAGTTAATTTAGGACGGAGCAAGCTAAGTAGATTACAAAATCTGACTGCTAAAGATGGAAATCAACAAAGCTCGTTTGACAGGCCAGAACCAGTCTTCAACTTCTAAATTGTCTTACAGAAACAACAAAGCATACTACCCTCTGATCTCCATCTTTTTAATTATATTTATATATACACACATATATACACAATCATGGTATCTAAATAATTCAAGTTGACAGGCTGTGAAAGGAAGGAGGCAAGCGAAAAAGCTGGACTAGCAATATTTTTGTGTATATGTTATATATATTTAGAGAGAGAGAGAGAGAGAGAGGTGTTTATATATATAAATATACACACACAAATACATATACGTTTTATGTATTATTATAAGTTGATTAAATAATGTGTATCTATATAGTTTATAATTTACAGCATGTGTTAGTGTTAGTATAATTTAATAGTAAAACTGGATCCAAACTGTACTGTGGAAGGAGATTAGAAGAAGGGGACAGGAGAGTTTGTGATTAGAAAAAAAAAAAAAAAAAAAAAAAAAGAGGAAAGTTTGTGAACAAGATATTCCAGACAACACTTTGCCGGGCATGATCATGAAGATACATATACACATATAGACATATGTGCATCATTATATATATGTAAAATACGGACATCTTGTATTTATATACGTAAATATACATAACTAATAATAATTTATATGCATATATTAGTTGGTGGGTGGCTCTTGCCTAGAACCCAGAACTACATATATATATATATAAATATATACAGACATATATATATATATATATAACCTTGAAAACTCCAATTGGAGGGGGGGGGGGGGGGGAAAGAAAGAAAGAAAGAAAGAAAAAAAAAAAACTCCAATTGGATTTAGTAATGAATGATGTGGAAATTGATGAATTAATATTCTCTCCGTACCAAGAAACTATATCCATCCAGTCAACTGCTATGATTGAGATTTTTCTCATGGGTTGCAAATTCCAGGTATTGGGATCCCATACGTGTCCCTTCTACTTCCCTTTCGTATTCATTTCCACACACACACATATGTACATCGCTTTATATACAAACTAAATTAATATTTTTTAAATTTAATTTATTAATATATTATTAAAATTATAGCAATCAAATTTATTATCGAAAGAAAAATTACATAATAGTTCAATTTTTTTAATTTTTTTATTTTTTCCTAATATTTTTTGTTTATTGAAATAAAAAAAAAAAAGAAAAGAAAGAAAAAGAATCAATATTATGTATAAATTCTTATCATCCTTGCAACTATAATTATTAAAATGGTGATTATGGATAATTAATGGATTTGGAAAAGAAGAAACTTCTCACACATCGCTTTCCTCCAAAAGCTAAGAGCTGGGCCAAGACATATCTCTCCCCAAGTAATTATATATCTGAAAATCCTTTTAACACTTTCACATTTTAGATCCTCATAAATCACACACACATGCTGCAACCCATATCATCATAACATATATATATATATATTTATATATAACACACTAATGCTTTTACCTTTTAAATTTGCTGTGGTCAGGCCTTACCTTTGTCTTCTATAAAAGTTTATACACACACACACACACACATATATATATATATATGCTCTTATACATGCGAAACTAATTAATTGAATTTAAGGGGTTTTTAGTACCATTCAAAAATAATAATTCATTGTTTTAAGGTTGGGGTTTAGTGTTAATTTCATATATGTTAGCTTTAATGATTTTTTAAAAATTGTCTTCTAACTCTTTTCTAGTCTTCATACAATATATAAAAAAAAAAATGCATAAAGTTAAAACTTCAGAAAATACACATAAAAAAATATTTCTATATACTAATCGGAATATATGAATTTCAATTCAATTATTTTATATATTATTAAAATTAGATATGAATCATTAATTATTTCTCTATAAAAATTAAACCTCCATCACAAATGATAGACCTAATCTGTTCATCTAGAATAATGGGTGGGCTCACATAACATGCGTATGTATATTTATACTTATACCCTCTATGTACATGTGTGTGTGTGTGTGTGTGTGTGTGTGTGTGTGTGCATATATATATATATATATGATTCATGCATCTTCCATTTTTGTTGGAGTGAAGTGTATTGAAGTTAGCATGTATTGTTTGGACATTGGGTACCACGACAAGAGACAGAATTTATTTTTTTTTTTTTTCTTCTTTCTTTTTCTCACATCAATTTTGTAAATTCCTTGTACGCAGTAAACTCTTATAATTAATTCTATATATACATACATATATATATATATATACACACTCATATATTATTCCACCTATATAATTTACTAATTCATGAACATTTTCGGTATCTTTCATTTTTAAATTTTTTTTTTTTAAATTAGAGACGCATCATTAATAAATTTCTCCAACCGACCCAGCATGACTTTTATTATTGTCCATGATCATTAATTCCAAAATATTATATTATGTTATTTATCAAGAAAATAATTATACAAAAGGGAAAAAAAATTATTATTATTATTTTCATACAACCTAATGTACAAAAATCTTACATTAAGTAAATGTAAAAAATAATGAGAATTTTTTAGTACATACAAATATTTATTGGACAATATTTTTTTAAAAAAAAATAAAAAGATATTTATTATTATTGTATTTAAAAAGATAAAATAATATATACTAAATGGATAAAATTAAATTATGAGAAGAAGAAAAAAATGGTGGGTTGAATCTGATGAGATAGATTAAGGTGGGGGGAGGGGACACGACACATGACTCATATACAAGTCTTTCTTTATCATATCAACATTGACTCAAATATACATATATATATATATATATGCATGATGATATAATCTATACTATAATATATCATCATATATATATATAATTTATTTATATTAAAACTTATAATTTAGTTAAATTTAATTTTTTTTCTAAAAGATAAAAAAGATAGAGAGAGGACAAAAGAAGTGACGGGGAGTTGAAGCAAAGCAAAGATTGGATTGAGAGAATAAGCACGCGTTGTAGGGTGTAGGAGGCACAACCAGTTTGAATGTGGACCCGCGGAGTTCGTCGCCACAACTTTTCCTCAATTGCTTTCATACCCTTCACCTCCCCTTATTTTCATTTTAGTCCTTTTCTACTACAATTAATTTCAATTTAATATCCTTAATTATTCCACTTTGGGTATTACCATCTTTTTTGAATTACAATTATAATTCTGGATAAATAAATAAATAAATAAATAGGGATACTTATTTCGTATATACATGTCAATTTCAAAATTTATAATAATTTTTTTATCAGTTATATTAATATTCGATTTCATAGAAAATTTATTAAACCTTTAAATTGAGTATCAATTTGAATTATAAATTAATTAATTAATTAATTATACTCAATGCGGTTCACTCGGAGTATAATTTTAAGCTTTTTTTAAAAAAAAAAAGTATATATATATATTTTATATTAATTTAATATGTAAATTGATTTGAGTTTGAATCATAAAAAAAAAAAATTATATTAAATTTAAACCTAATAATATTATGTTAGTGTGAATTCAGATAATCAAATATGGGGTTTGAATTATTCAATTTTTGCTACTTTAATTTAATGTTGAAAAATTAAATGATTTTTTTTTTTGCTTTTAAAATAAAGAAAAAAGCAGAAGGCCTGAAAATTCAAAAGGCAACTCCTTTTCTTGTTCTTCTTCACAGCCTTCATTTCTTTATTTTTTGAAAAAAGAAAAGATCAAAGTTGACATATATATATATATATATGTGTGTATATACACAACCAGACATTATGTAAGCTCCTAATATACAGCAAACATGACAGCTAGGTCATCAAACAATTAAATTAATTAAAGCTAATTATCTAAAATAATCCAGATTAGCTTGTCGTTAGATTGTGAACAAGTTATATGCACAACACATATGCTAATCTCCGTACGTATTAATTAATATGCATAACACATTCAATAATTATCTTTAATCAATATGCTTTGGGTCGTATAATTATCTTTCAAATAATTTAATCAAAATTGATGACAAAATCATCAATTAGTATATTGTTCGGGTGAGGATTTAAGCGAAAATCAGGAGTACTCCATGATAGAGACTAACATCAATATTTTAATATATATATATATATATGTGTGTGTGTATATGCATGCGTATATTTTTTTTTTTTTGTATATAAAATATTTCGTGGTTGTGGGACAAGTGAGGAAAGTTAAAAAAATTTGAACAATAAATAAATCATAAACTTAACAACTATTGGGCACAAGTGCTAATATAATCATCCATTATTAAATAAAAAATATTAATTATGTAATTGGAATCTTACTTAATGTGTCATTTTCTTAATTTATTCAATTTTAACTTTAGTAGCTGTACACAACTAATGACTATCCCATCTTCGGTGTTTACCTAGATTGATATACACACATCAAATCGGATGTTTCCATTCTAAAAAATAACAAATTCAGCTATACATACATACATATATATATATATATATATATATTGAACTATTTATTATTATTATTTTCTCATATAGATTATTAAGAGAGAAAATAAAATTTAAAAAACTTGGTTTTCAATATTGTGGATCCCACGTCATAAAACAAATCGATCTTATTGGTTAATCGTTTGGTAGCAATCTTATTGACTTTAAAAATAAATATATACATATTAGTTATATATTGATATGTTTTTTGTACATAAAATTTTAATTAATTTAAAATTTAAATAACGTATCCATCAATCATGCATTATACTGAAATTAATTAAAAACAAAAACACAAAGAGAATCAAGATTCAAATCTTATATCATATTAAATAATAATAAATTTAATTTAATTATTTTAGAAATTAAATTAATAAAAAATAACCCAATTTATTAATTTATTCATTCATTATCATCACGACTCATATTATTCAATAATTACGAATTTACGATAACATAATTACAATTTTGATCAAATTAATCCAAAGTTACCTAGTATATACGCAAATTACGAGAGGGTTAAACAAAAAATCTTATTTTTTTAGAAAAAAAAAAAAAAAAAAAGGTTGGTGAACTTTGATGATAAGGTATCAAAAATATTAACTATATGTGGGGGACCACGAAGTTGTGGGAGTGACACTTGGCAGACAGCCGACGATGGATGTGGTATGATTCATCATGTGGTGTGATCTACAAGTGGGAAAGATCCGGCGGTCAGTTTGTCAATTTTATTAGATGTTGATGGAGATTATATTATTATAACATGATAATATAAATATATGAACATTAATTTAATTTAATTACATATAAAATATATATAGATTCTTTTTAATTTATTATTCACTTATTTAGATTGCTGATTAAACAAGCACTTGACTCTTTGTCCGATTTGGAAAATCCTGTTCATGGAAATGTCATTTTGTTGGTAAATATACCATTCAATATATACTTATCAGAATATAAAAGCACCGCAATTGCTTGATTTTGATGTCCACC